TGTGTGTTAGGAGCTGTTAGAGTGACGATGAGGCCGAGGTAAGTGTACTGCATCGTGTGCTCCAGGGCGGTGCTGCCCAGAGTGAACTGGTACCTGTGTTCCTGACACCTGGGCCTTTTCTGGAAGATCATAACTTTTGTCTTCTTCAGGTTTACTGCCAGGGCCCAGTGCTGGCAGGACTGCTCCAGCAGGTCCAGGTGCTGCTGTCGCCCCTCTGCACTCGGAGACAGCAGCACCAGGTCGTCCGCGTAGAGCAGGAACTTCACCTCCTCGTCCTGTAGAGTGAGTCCAGGAGCTGCAGACTGTTCCAGCTGCACCGCCAACTCAGTAATGTAGATGTTGAACAGTGTGGGACTCAGGCTGCAGCCCTGCCTCACTTTCTGAGTGAAGAGTTCTGTACGTTTGTCTCCAATTCTTATCGCACATTTGTTTCCCGAATACATTGATTTGATGACATCATAAGCTTTACCCCCCACACCGCTCTGTAGAAGTTTATAATAAAGCCCTTCATGCCAAATAGAATCAAAAGCCTTCTTGAAATCTACAAAACAGGCAAAATCTTTTCCATCTTTTGTTTGGTTCACGTGTGGATTAATTAGGGTGTGTAGGGTGTAAATGTGGTGGGTAGTTCTGTGATTTGGAAGGAAGCCAATCTGATTCTTGCTCAGGACATTGTGTTCGTTAAGGAAAGTCAGAATTCTGTTATTTAAAATGCTATTAAACACTTTCCCCAGGTTACTGCTCACACAGATGCCTCTGAAACTGTTAGGGTCCAATTTATCTCCACTCTTATGGATCAGGGTTAGAAGTCCTCGGCTCCAGATGTCAGGAAAACAGCCTGAACTCAGGACGAGGTTGAATAATTTGAGCACTGCCCCCTGCAGCTCAGGAGTGCTGTTTTTCAGCATTTCATTTCTGATGCTGTCAGGGCCACAAGCCTTTTTAGGTTCTAATGATTTGAGTTTTTGAGCCAATTCTTCTTGAGTTATTGGATAATCGAGTGGGTTTTGGTTGTCTTTTGTGTCTTTTTGAGAGATTTCTTTGTAAAGATTTTCAAAATGTTTTTTCCAAATGTGGCTGTTTTGTATCGGTATGTCTTGTGGTTTTGTTGTGCTCAAGTTATTCCACATCTCCCAGAACTGATTTTGTTTAACAGGATCTTCTGTTTCTCTCAGAGTTTTGTTCGTGTGATTGTGTTTTTTGATTTGGATTGTACGTTTATAATGTTTCACAGTATTTTTGCCTCAGATTTGGATTGTCAGGTTGTCTGTGTTTTAGATTTGAAAAATTTCTTAGTTCTTTTCTAATTGATTGGCATTCGAAATCAAACCATTTTTCTTTGTCCAATTTTTTTACTCGTTTTCCCCTTTTTCTTTGAAGGGGAGCTTTAGAAGATGCTGTTTGAAAAATGCTGTTGATTTGATTACAGCAAGGTTAACACTGTTCTTATTATTCTCAAAATGGGTGTTAATAAAGTTAGTGATTTTGTTAGATACAGGAACTGATCGGAGTGCATGCATGAATTTCTCAGAGCTATCCAGAGCCCATCTGTAAGTCCTGTGGACTGTGACCAGCTTACCGGGCTCTGCTGCCGTTTGCTTCGGTTTATTTGACCATTTTAGATACACATTAATTTGGTTATGGTCTGATAGAGGAGTTTGCTGTCGGACAGTGAATGCGTTGATGGAGGAGGGATCCATGTCAGTGATAGCATAATCAACTACACTAGCTCCAAGAGCTGAACAGTACGTGAACCTCCCTAAAGAGTCCCCTCTGATCCTGCCGTTAAGTATGTACAGACCTGAGGCTCGACAGAGATGCACTAACTCGTTTCCGCTCTTATTTACAGTGCAGTCGAGGTTGTTTCTGCGTTTGAGGGTTGGTGTGAGGTACAGAGAGCTTTGGCCAAACACGTTTGTCGCCCTGTCGGTCTACATAGTCATATTTAGTTCCAGTTCGTGCATTGAAATCTCCACACAGTAGCACATTTCCCTGGGCCTGGAAATGGCTGACCTCTGGAGATACTCCTCGTCATAATAAGGGGATTCAATAGGAGGAGTGTAGACAGCACAGAGGTATATGTCTGTCTCTGATAGGCCAATTTCTTTATTCATTTTTAGCCAACAATGTGATTTTCCAAATTTTTCAACTGAAAAGTGTCTGGCCAGGTCTCCTCTGTACCACACCAAGATTCCTCCAGAATCTCGACCGCGCTGGACTGTACTTAATTTGAGCGAGGGCACAATAACCTCACAGTAGCCTGAGGGACAGTGGGTAGGCGTGTCCTCACGACACCATGTTTCGGTGAGGATGAGGACGTCTACACCTTCATTCTTTAGAAAGTCAGGATCTCGACTCTTCGGTCCAAAGATCGAGGAGCAGAGGCCCTGAATGTTCCAACAGCTAACACAGAGTGGGCGCATGTTAAACACTGGAAAATCTATCAGATCAGATCTATTTAGTGAGACTTAACAGAGAAAATTATTATTGACGTGCAAAAGTACGAACTATTTAGTCATATGTTAAATAAACAGTGCACATAGTGAACAGTGCTACATGAATGCTGTATCTGCAGATGGGGGAACGGCTCTTGCTTCAGCAGCAGTCTTGTGCACAGGGTGTACAGCATCTGTTTCATCTCTCCTAGCTCTGTTGTAGCTGGTGGGGGGCTCTAGCTGAGGGTGGTGGGGGCTGAGCCACCGCTGCAGCATAGCTCTGTGGCCTTTGCTGTGAAGGGGGCCTCCTCACAGGTGGCCCTTTAGCTTTTCTTTCTTGGTGGGAGGGCGTGGAGCAGTAGGTATGTGTGGGGCTGTGGGGGGCGTGCCTGCTGGTGAGTTTGGGGACGCAGGAGGGTGAACAGGAGGAGGGCCTGCTGTGTCTTACAGGTGAGAACAGGGCATACCTGGGCATGAACTGGGGAGGTGGTCTGAGGAATCCTGCTGGTGGTGTGAAGCCCGTAGGGCTGCATCTTTAAGGGTCTTCGCAAAGATCCGGACGCTGTCCTTGTGTAGATGGAGCCCGTCGTACATGTCGTGGGGCGTGATGGTGGGGTGGTAGGCCAGATGGACGTTTGGTAGGGTGGCGCATCCTCTGCTGATCTCCGCGTTAATGCCGTTAATGACATGGGGAGGTGTGTCAGAACGTGCTAGTAGAGTGGAGATCACGATACGGCTCTCTGGGAACTCAGCGCTGGCTCTCTCTGCCGCTCTCCGCACGGCCTCAGCAGTGCCGCTCGGTTGGGTGTGGAGGTCGTTGGTGCCTGTGTGGATGATGATGCACTGGGGGCTCCCGAGGGTCTCCTTCTTCAGAAACGGGTGGGCGTGGCTGGTGGTGCTGCAGTGTTTCGCTGTTACCTGGTGTCCAGGGAAGAGCTTCTGAGGTTCCAGGAACTTCCTGTTCGAGTCCATTAGAAGAACCACATGAGGTCTCTGCTCTGCTGGTTTGACTGTAGTGGTCTCGGGGGGGATGCGGGGGCTCAGCAGGAGGTGTCTGCGTGTCAGGCGGGGGTTCACTGTGTGCTGCTGGATGGGGCTGTTGGTGTTGCTGTCCGAGAGCCTGGCCTGTGTATGTTCTTTGAACTCAGTAAAGTCCGGCTCCAGCAGAGCCAGACTCTCTCTGAGCTGCCTGTCAGAGGGGGGAGGGGGAGGGGCTGTGGTGGGCAGTGTGGGCGGAGCCTCCGCGCCATCTTCCTCAGAGTCTGTACTGTCCACAGCGGCGCTGGCCGCCTCTCTCTCCACCTCAGCCTTCAGCTGGGGAAAGATCTCCTCAAAGGAGTCCAGGCTGATCTCGTTCCCCTGCACTAACACTGTGCCCTTAGTGTAGGAGGTGATGGTCAGTACAGGGTTGTCAGTGTCCAGGTGTTCGTCTGTGCAGACGGTGATGCGTCCTCCTCTGCCGATGCCCTCTTTAAAGGTGAATCTGTAGCGTCTGCAGATGTCCATGCGGACGGGGCGGCGGTGTGGAAGATCAGGTTCTTTTTAATCCTCTTGCCGTAAGGCTGGATGAAGTCTGCTGTACAGAGTGTCCGGTTCTCTTTTAGGGTCTTTTCTTTGTGTTTTTTCTTTTCACTCTTCCACTTTGCGGGAAACTCCACCTCTCTGTACTGCACTGGCTCGGTTTCCATGGCGACCAAACATCTAACGGCTGCGTCTGGGGGGCGTCTGGAACTTTAGCAGTTAGCTTAAGCTACTAGCTGATAGCTGGAAAATCTGAGTTTGAGCTGTTTGTTTTTGTCAGTTTTCAGCTTTTAGGCAGTTTTATGATTCACCAGTAGGTCCTACCTTGCTGTGTGTTTTGTATTGTCGTATCTGAAGTTCTTTTTCCTT